CTATTTTTATATTTATTAGTACTAGTACCGGTACTTTGAATTCTTAGGCGATGCCCACTTTGTGTCAGTGACCTACAGCCTATTTAAACTACCAGCTCAACCATGTGCTACGTCCACCGTGGTCTACAATGGGGGTATTCAAGGACATGAAGAAGCTTTTGCTTTTGACTATAGCATTACTTTCAAGGTGAGCACATTATTGTATGCCAATCATTTTGAGTACGGTATGAAAAAAATGTTGAAATAGGATTTCATAGATTTAATACTTTTATGAGCTTAATTAAATCTTGCAAACACAAAATTGTTCCATGTTGAAATAGATGAACTGTCCAGTTAGAATGATTAAATAGATCCACAGTACAGATCAATCATCTAAATTTTATATAGATGAACTGTACATTACGGTGTTTGTTGCTGTTTTCTTTGCAATTTCAGAAGGGTGAAGAATGTCATGTCAAACCTGAGCTTGCAAGCATTTTGACAAACTCACCTTACAGCAAATATTTCACCATAGCTGAAGGGGAAAGCGGCCCATGCAAGTGTGCTAAACTGGTAATTTTTCTATGCGTCAAGTGACGTGTGTATTAATGAAGAGACTATTTATATAATAATAATAATAAAGTTTATTTGAAAAACACGCTTCATCCCCAAAAGCTCGAAGCGCGGTACAAAGTCAACCATATTAAAAAGAGAAATAAAAACAATCTAAAATTTACCACATTTAAAAACAGACGCAACAATATAAAGCTACATACGAGCATACCCAGTCAAAGTCTTTCATCCCGTTTCAACCATAAGCAACACAAGCCAATATACATTAACTGAAAAAGATGGTAGATAGCATCACCCCAGAAGGTGTTTGCGAAATAGATGTGTTTTTAAATCGGTTTTAAAGGACTCCAGTGTCTGGCTGTTTCTGAGAGCGACTGGAAGTGCGTTCCAAATTGTTGGGCCCGCCAATGCAAAAGTGCGCCTTCCGTAAGTCTGAAGGCGAACACACAGTATCGATATTTTGCCACTATCGGATGAGCGGAGCTCTCTAGTGGGTACATGAGGCGTCATGAGTGCTTTGAGATAAGATGGCGCCAGGTCATGTAAGCAGCGGTAGCACAAAGTTGCAATTTTGTACTCTATGCGAGCGCGGACTAGCAGCCAGTGCAGCTCACTCAGAAGTGTTTTAGCTTGGTCGAATTTGCGTTTGCGAAGAACAATGTGAGCCGCATTATTCTGTGCTCTTTGAATTTTATCCAGGAGCGTAGCTGGGAGATCCACCATGAGAGCATTGCAGTAGTCCATGCGTGATAACACAAATGCAGACATCAGCCTCTTTGATGCATCTAACGTTAAGAAAGGTCTGATCTGACTAATCCTGCGCAGCTCTAGGAAAATTGCCTTGCAAAGCATGTTAATATGATTTTCCATAGGAAGTGTTCTGTCTAAATAGACACCCATGTCTCGCACTGTATGAGCAAACTCAATCTGCATACCTGAGAGAGTAAGTGATGTTGTGTGTTTTACAGATTTTTGTTTCTGAGCAGTGGCAATGGAGATCAGCTCAGTCTTTTCATCATTCAATTTGAGCTTGTTTATGGTCATCCAGTGCTTAACTGACTCCACTGTCTTCTGTGTCATACTAAGAAGTTGAGGGAACTGAGATGGGATCACGGATTGATAAAGTTGTGTACCGCCCCCGAACATGTGATTCAGCATGTCAAATATGAGCGTACAGTATGTGCCCAAAACCGGACTGTTTTTTGACATCAGTGTCCTAGTATTTTATACAAGTCTTTATGTCTGACATCACATGTCTATTTCTCTCTGACTATTGAAAAATATTCAAAGGCAAGAATATTATCAAATTTCTTTTAGCACAGCTACACCTTTGTACATATGAAGTTTTTGTAAAAATTGATATTATTTTTTTGGGGTGTGTTTTTATGAGTATCTTTGGAAAACTAAATCAGAGGTGTAAAGTCTCAAATCTGAAATCATGTTGGCCCATGTGTATTGTGGTCACAGGTTTTACTGGTCATTAACAATGATAGCAAATCTTATGAAACTTGAGACATCTGACTAATGGAGCTTTAGATCACTGCAGGATGGTAGATAATATACGTAGGCAAAAAGTCTTAGTAGTTATTAGCAGTGGTGCAATGGAAGCCCCGTTTTTATACAAATTAAAATCACACACAATCGCACACAAATTTATATCTGTAACTGTGCAGCGTCTTTGTGTGTTAGTGATCCCTTCTAAACTTTAAATGTTAAAAATGATATGTTATCTGTTTTGATGTTTTCTAATGTTATCCATATCAAAGCTGAACAGTTTTTTTTGTAATGAAGGATAATGAACATTTTTTTAATGTCAATTTCCACACAGGAAAAAGATCCATTTGAATATTGCACAGAAAGAGGAAACAAGAAAGGCTGCTGTTGAGCATGTCTGACACAGAGTTGATGCCCTTGAGAGTAATCTTTTATGTGAATACCTTTTTGGTTGAATATGATAGTGGGATTATAAAGTCTTTGTACAATGTTATGTTGGACAAACATGATAAATGATGTACTAAGGCTTAAAAGTTACTCCCTAATGCTACTCTTTAACTTTAAGGGAGACATATTCCATTCTTTGTTGGCATTTAAATTCAACTTAAGTTTTTTTAATTTTGAAAATAATTTATTGGTCATGAATGACAACTTAAGATATCTTAAAATATCAAATTATTATATATATATGTTTCTAAATTCTATGGTCTATAATAAAAATGGTTCACAATATAAGATGTGTCTATCTCTGCAATATTGTTCATTTTGTTATGAACTGTTATATGGTTTTTGTAAACTTAATCTGTTTTAAGATTTGGATCAGTCTTTTAACAAATAAATATTATTCCCCAGACAAGGCTGTTATTTAATACATATTTGGGAAGACTCATTCAGTTTACTAACAATAAAGAGAAAACCGAAGTGACGGACACTACTTTTGCTTTTAAAAAAAAGATTACAGCGTATATCGTGATGTCTGTTTGTACTTGTCAAAAATACTGTTATTGTTTTTAGGTGAAAAAGATAAACAAAGACAAAAACCTCTGTTTCTTCAGATGGTTGCGGTGTCCCATCGGGATAAAATTTGGAACCCTCCAGAAAAGAAATTCTAGAAATTGCATTTTTAAAACATATTAGAATGTATTCACACTTAAACAACCTTTTTCCCAAGCAAGGGAGAGGTGTCAATAGGATTGGCGCTACACATTTAATCTGTGACTTCAATATCAAACTAAAAAAAGTGGGAGGGGATTTAAAGTTGAATGCCACGGCTTGTGGTGAACAAAAAGGTATGAAAACACACCGGCTATAACAAGTTCATTCCATGTATCTCACCATGTAAACACACTGGCTATAACAAGTTCATTCCATGTATCTCACCATGTAAACACACCGGCTATAACAAGTTCATTCCATGTATCTCACAATTATTACTGTACCTGGTCTCAAAATTTGGGGGTTCTTAGTACTTTTTAATGCATGAACATGTGCTTTTGAGTCCAATGAACATTTAAAGAATTAGAGATAAATATTTAAATTACCCAATTGAAGATATTTTCAACATAAGCTATGGAGATGTCCCAAATGCCATAAGACAAGTGGTATATAAGCTATGGAGATTCCCAAATGCCATATTTAGGTAAGAATGAATTTCCACAACATCCAACACTGATTTCACTATATTTCTAGTGTAATTTTTCATTCATATCTGCCATTTTGTTTAAAGCATTAATTAGTCCATTTATTTAAATTTTCAGTCTTTGATTTCACTGACAAATGCCAAAGTTTTTTATATTTCACTGACAAATGCCAAAGTTTGTTATATTTCACTGACAAATGCCAAAGTTTGTTATATTTCACTGACAAATGCAAAGTTTGTTATATTTCACTGACAAATGCCAAATTTTGTTATATTTCACTGACAAATGCCAAAGTTTGTTATATTTCACTGACAAATGCCAAAGTTTGTTATATTTCACTGACAAATGCCAAAGTTTGTTATATTTCACTGACAAATGCCAAAGTTTGTTATATTTCACTGACAAATGCCAAATTTTACTTTGAGTAAAACAATATTAAGTATGGTAACTGATCTTTTTTTTTAAAATTTAATTAATTTTTCATATAAAATTGATTTTTCTATCTACCTGTATAAACAAATCCATGAGCATCTCCCATTGTGGTATGTGCCGTTGTACTATTTCCAACTGTAACATCTGCATGAGCCTTTTATTATTTCTAGTACCTACAGTTTCATTCAACTGCTCAAGCAATTCAAGTCCAGAGTCTAACTCACAAATCTTAAAAGCATTTCGAATAAATTTTCAAAAACTTAGTTAGTTGCATCACCACAAATAAACCTTTTAAAAATGTCCAGCTGTGCTGTTGTCTATGATGTCCAGATAAATGAAGCCCGAGTCTATTTAAAGAGCCTTATCTGTCAAACTTAGTTTGATTTGCCACATGTACATACTCAATTGTGACCTAAAACACTAAATTCTCTAGGTATGTGTGTATGACTGTAATGATTCTCTAGGTGTGTGTATGACTGTAATGATTCTCTAGGTATGTGTGTATGACTGTAATGATTCTCTAGGTATGTGTGTATGACTGTAATGATTCTCTAGGTATGTGTGTATGACTGTAATGATTCTCTAGGTATGTGTGTATGACTGTAACGATTCTCTAGGTATGTGTGTATGACTGTAATGATGTGGTTTCAGTAGGTGCACACAATAAAATTCCCAGAAGTTATCGCTAGGGGGATTCTTATGAAGTGCCTTACTTGAACGCTGGTACTGTCAGGTAACTGTAGTAGCTGGGAAGTTCATGCATTGCTACTGCATTTCACTATAAACATAATTTTAAACTAGTTTTTGAGTAGCACCAACAATTTATATTTACAATAGGTATATTATATAATATAATTATTCATAACATTTCAATATATACAGGTAATTATTTAAGCAAATATTCTTGTGTTGAAAAGTTAGTCATTTACTTTGTTTTAAATTTAAAAGTAATAAACCTAAAAAACAAATTTTTGTAATATAAGATGTGGATAATTCAGAGATGTCCCCTTATACTACTTATATTTTTGACATTGTATTCTTAATCAATCACATTCATTTATTTTCAGCAACAAAAAAAAAGTTTTTCTGTTGAAAACAAAAACAAGTGCAAGGAACTAATATTGAAAAAAAAAATAATTGAAATTACTCCGCCCCCCATCTGACGTCTTGGGTACTGCTGGTACTTCAAACATTTAGATCAATGGAGTTTAATAGTTTCACACTGTGCTAAATATCAAAAGTTTTTTTTTTTTAAGTTTCTTTAAATTATAAGGTAAAAGTAGGCATACATAAATTATGTGTTTCAGATACATTTTCATATTATCTTAAGATTGATAATATGAAACTAACTAATTTGTTTATGGCTAGGAATCACATTTTTTTACCACTTATTAACTAAAATCAAATAATTAAATGCATCATAGTAACAACAACGAAATTCAATATCCATAAATATTAATTTAAAACACATCTGACATGAAGCTAGCTGCCAATTTTTTTATTTAAATATAATGTAACATTTATTAAGTTACTGGTATCCCATGGCCCAAAATATATGGGCCAACAAAGGATGAGTATGGATGGAGAATACGAATCAACCATGAATTATACAGTCTATATCAGGATCCCACGATAGTAGCAGAAATAAAAAGAGGCAGGTGACGCTGGGCAGGACACCTAGAGAGAATGCCAAATGACAGAGGAACGAGGAGGGTGCATCACCAATACCCCAGAGGGAACAGGCTCAAAGGCAGACCGAGGCTTAGGTGGATAGATGATGTGGAAAAAGATCTACAGCAGCTGAAAGTCCAAGCATGGAAAAGAAAGGCATTAGTTAGGTCTGAGTGGAAGGAAGTGTTGAGGCAGGCCAAAGCCCTACATGGGCTGTAGCGCCACAGGAATGGATGGATGGATGTATGCCAAGACAATGGCATTTACCCATAATAATATTCTTTACGTTTACCCAATAATACACAGTTAAAATCTTATAAATGTTAAACTGAAAGTTTTGAAGAAGAAACTAAATATATAGTCTCGCTTAATTTTTTTGTAGCCTGTAAACCAAAAATCATCTTTTAGATATTTCAAATGTTTTAAATCATTTAAACAGACTTGGTGACTTAATACATGAATAAGAAAAAATTAAACAAAATTAGCAGTAAAAAGCACACAATGTGTTATCCTAACTCGATACTACAACAGATACTGTAATAATAACAGCCAGAATAATCACTATAATGCCATAAAACGTAACACAAATTATTATTCTACGCACCCTACGCGCCCTACAAGCAGAACATCCCTTACAGCCATATACATGACCTTTGACAAGTTCTAGTTTTGCACTTTCCACATGCACGGCTGTATTATCTATAGCACTTTCAATGGTATCTACAGTCTCACCTTGTGTTGAAACTAGTAAGTTCATGTCTTTAAATAAGAGGTTCACATCTGCAACACTTTTTTCTAGAGCTAGAATGTCTTTCTTCCTTTCATCAAGATCCCTAAGGGTTTGTTCTGCATCATGTACATCAGATATATAATTGTCAGTAAATACAGAATATGAATCATGATCGAGAAGAGAATTTATTTTTGAATCATCAATTGAATCCCCACGGGCTTTCATCTGAGTTCTTAATCGCTTTTTCATTTTATCCATATAGTCAGCTTGAATTTTAAAGAATTCATTTGTTGAAATGTTAAGTTCAGCAATGAGAGTGTTAAGTTGTTGAGTTCTTACTCGTTTAAAAGCACTCTCTTCAGGAAGGTCACGCCCTTCATATTTTTTCTCCAGCTCTTTTAAAGATCCACCAATTTTTGTTGCATCACAGCGAACTTGCTCTCCAAGAGACTCGTACTTCGCCACACTGTTTTTATCAGGAAATGGCGTACTAAACATATGTTGCTGTAGTTCCTTTAATTCAGAAACATCTGTCTTCATTTTATTCAACTCATTTTCAATTTTACTAGCCTCTGCCTCTGTGATAAACGACTGCATTGTTTTGTCACTGAGCTTATTTGACTTAATAATGTAATGATGTTCTTCTCAAAAACTTGTAGAATCTCTTCCTGGCTTATCAATATGTTCGCTCTCTATCTCTTTCTCTCTCTCTCTCTCTCTCTCTCTCTCTCTCTCGCTGCTGTTGATTTTATGCGTTTATTATATCATCTTGCCAACCAATCAGTTTCGCTTCCTCAATGTAGGCTATTTTTAGATAGCTTATTCGTTCTTCGTGACTAATCAACACAATGAGTCAAGATAACTATGACAAACAAAAGGCTTTATCCGCCCCTTTCTTCAAGAACAGTAACTCAGTTGAGTCAACTGCATTAGAATTATTTTTAAAAGTGCCGTAATAAAAACGAAAACCTATTTTTTTTTTAAAAACAACAATATCCTTAAAATCCGGTTTTCTTTTGATGCAATTCATTCTTGACATTGAAAATAAGAGCGTAATAAAATTAAACTTATCCTCTGTTGTCAGCAGCCCAGAAATATGCACACGACGCAGGTTGCGATCAGAGCAGGGTGTCACCAGTGTACGACAACCGTATCCGGAAATTTGATCGAAAGAAATTTCGTCGACGGTAATTTGATCGACGGTACTTAGATCGGAACACCAGTGCCGGCGCAGGACTTCGAATGTCAATGTTATCCGCCTACGGGACTCCATCTCCGGGTTTTGAATTCGGAGTTTCCTTCTCTTAGATGAGTTGCCGTCCAGGGTGAACGAGCCCCATCTACCCGGGGTGAGGGTGGTGTTTGTGCTTGACCATTGGTGGGAATTGATGGGTTCAATGTAGGGCATACCAGTTACTATTCTTTTAAAAAAATTTCCTTTTATTGTTGTACACATTTTTCTCCGGGGGAGTGGGGCGAAGTTGACTTTCTGAAGGGGGAATGTCGTCGTCCCCCCCCCCCCGGGTCCCCCGTCCTCCGAGAGATGCCTGAATGAAACAGTGAATAATCTATCGCGGATGCCCC